TGTAAAATCCATCATCATCATCATCATTCTCATCATCAACGTCATCATCTACGTCATCATCAACGTCACAGGCAAAAACATATTGATAACCACAATCACGTCACACAGCAACAACAACATACACAAAATCTAGACCAACGCAAACAGCATTCTTCAAAAAACTCACAACAGCGGCAGGAATTTTCCCAAGAGATAGAAAAACAACCACAACTAATACAACAGCAACTAATACAACAACAACAAATAATACATCAACAATTAATACAAGAACATCCACCACAACAACAACAACATCATCAACAACAACAACATTATCAGTCCTCTCCTCAGCACTACATTATTCAATACAAAACCATGAGTCATTGGATTGACCTTTCGCCTCCAATTTATCACGTGACGTCATTTTACTGGAAAAACCCGTCACGTGGTGTAGTTTACCATTTCCGGGTTTCATGCTGCTTGGGACTTGTATGCAGCGAGCCGAGCGCCGCTGCTCTATTTGATATGAGGGGTGAGAATAATTATGTAAAATTATACGTGATTACGTCTTGAATGAAAATGTTATAAATTAACATAAATTATCATAAATTAGCTCAATTTTCTTTTGTTTGATTTTTTTATTTATTAATATGTCGAGGTTTTTTCGATGAGGCTTTATGAGTCTTAGGTGATGATGGGATATAATAATAATATCTTTTGGAATTTAAAATTATTTTATTTCATTTCACTTTTTTATTATGAAACAATCATTTAGCTCTTTTTCTAATGTTTTTTTTAATTAAAGGCATTTAAATAATCGATAAATTAATTCAATTTTCATAAAAAAAGACTTTTCGTTAAATAAAAGTTACTTAAAAAACCAAAATTATAGACGTAAAAAGGCTACACAAGGACTCAAATGACCTATATTTCTGCATTCTCATTGGTTCAACGCTGGCGGCATTTACAATCCTCGTGTTCCTATTGGTTGTCGTCAAAATATTGAAAGTGAAACTAGACCGACGAAAAAGAGGAAGATGTGAAAATGGTTGCTGCATTGGTTTTTTTTTCACTTTGGTTTTCCTGTGGTCTTAGTTTCAGTTGAACTTCAAAATTTCCTATAGCTCTCATACATATTTTATCTTAATTTTAACGCAATTTCAAACGACCTGGATTATGCAGATGCCTGGATTAGAACGATCAAAACGAATGAACGAATGAATGAAAAAGCGAATGAATGAATGAATAAATAAATGAATGAATAAACAAAAAATCAAGCGGAAGAATGAATAAATAAATGAATTAAAGGAAGAAAGAACGAACGAATGAATCAATCAATTAATTAATGAAAATTTTATTCCCAATTAACGTACGAATATAAACGAACGAACAAAGGAAAAACTAATGATTAAACAAACAAAATGAAAAAAAAAGAAAAAATAAATCGATAAATAAACGTAAATTTAATGAAATTTAATTAAAAAATCAATCTTCATTTCTTTTTCTTCCATTCAGATCTTTCACTACAAGGCGATGCTCAAATGGATCAGTCAAAAAACTTTCGAACAACACTTCTAACGGAGATTAATTAATTAATTATGTTATAATTATGTCATAATTATGTTATTTTAGTTATTTATTTATTTAATCATTCATTCATTCATATATATATATAATACTATTTTCAAATAAAATTAGTATAATTTTAGTATAATTATTTTTCACTCAACAACATTCTTATATTTAAATTTTAGTATTACATCGGAATACTGTTTCAAATGATTGTAATGTAATAACTTGTCAGGCCATATGAAAACATCTATACATTACATACATGCATACATACATAGATTGGAACATTATTTATTATGAAGATTGATGGGACGTGAAGACGAAATAGCACACAAACATACAAACACGGATACAAATGCACACGCACATGCAAACACACAACCGTACACACTCACCCATACACAAACACTCATACATATACCCCATTCTTTTTGTTATATTTGTGTTTTTTTGGATTTTTTTGAAAAAAATTTAATCGAAAAAATTAAAATAAATATTTGTAGAGGAATCATAAAATTATTGCAAATATTCTACTAATAAAAATGTTAATAAGAAATTGATTATAGTTTAAAATCGTTTTCACCAAACCTTTTTCTTTCTAATAATTTTATTTTTTCACAAAATAAAATAAAAAAATAATAACTATATGATAAAGTTCTTTCATTGGTAATGAGTTAAAACGTCATCAAAAATAAAACAAGTTTAATATAATTTCAACGAACACAAACTCACAAGCACACTCCACACACACACAGACACACACGCGCAAACACATAACATCACTCAACCATAAAATCCAAAAAAGATACCTTATGAGACCTAGGCAATCACCAATCAGTCAAATTTCTGACTTGGGGCAATGTCATAACGAACACTTGTATACATGTATTCGCGCCCATCTTTGTCACTTCGTACGAATGCCGAATGGTAACACTCGACGATATCTCGCTTCTGCAGGTCGGGCATGACGATTTACCGTTAAACCATTCCTTGATGCAGTCGAAGTGAAAACTATGGCGGCATTTCAATTCTGACACGAATGATTTGTTTTGGAAATCTTCCAGGCAGATTCTACAACAGTTGTCGATAAACATTCCTCTGATGAACGGCAACTTATATATGCGATTCTTCGACATGTTTGAATAAAATAAATCACAGTGTGAAACTTCCGCTACGATATTGTTCTTTGTGTACGTCTTGTCATGTGAGGTTACCTCTATTGATTTCGCGTGAAAATATTCTTCTTGAATCTCCCGTATCAAGAAGTATCTTGAACTTTCATCTAATGAATGAAACTTATCGAGCCAGTTATTATTGACGGGCGGGCTTCCACCTTCGGCTGCAAAGAACAACGCCATCTCACGAATTTGATCAGAAGAAAATACGCCTTCCATCTTTTTATTTCTTTTCATTATATCCTCAAACATGCAAAATTGCGAGCAGATCTCCTCAAACGTGAATTGCCATACGTACGTCTTCAACATCTCCTCCGCGAATTCTTCAACCTCCTGCGGGCTGTGTTGCATTCCCGATTATAAACTTCGGCTATTCTCAAAATGTTCACAAATTGTAATTGTGTGTAAAAACTTTGTTCTGAGATTCTTCATTCCTCTCTTTCTCTATATATAATCCTTCATCGATGGGCCAAACGAAAAGGGTTGTAAAAAAGATTATAAATCGCAAATTTATTCATAAATTACGCTGGTGAGGTCGTAAAAATAATTTGGTTTTCCAGCAAAGAATTAAAATTTTCTAAAATGATGTTGTAAAAATATTTCAATGGTGAATCATGTTCAGAGCCATATTTACCAAATTTTTACCAATTTACCAAAACCATATTTACTAATAAAGCTGTGACCTATGGCGCAAGTTTAGTTATATTTCTTGGAAATCCTCCAGGCAAATTCAGTCTCATTTCTCGATAAACATTCCTCTGAAGAATGGCAATTTGTATCTGCGATTCACTGACAATTCTGAATAAAATATATCAGTGAGAAATTTCTGCTACGAGATTGTTCCTTTAGCACGTGTTTTCATGTACAGATGCCTCTGCTGATTTTGTATTAATAAATTTTTCTTGAATCTCTTGCGTCATTTCGTGCTGTAGATTAAAATTTCAGGGTTTAACGCATTTTCTAAAATTTAATTAATTGTTTTAATTAATTTTAATTAATAAGAGCAAGCGAGCTGGAGCATAATGGCAATAATTAATATATTAGTATTATTCATTATTTTTATATTTTTCTGCAATTTTTTGTGAAAAAATAAAATTTAGAAGAAGAAAGAATAATTATAGCGGTATATAAACTCGGTTTAGTTTTTTATTAACATTTTTAATAGTAGAATATTATTTAGTATTTAATTGTTGTCATCAATTAAACAACTTTAATTCTATTTTATTGAGCGCACACACATAATATCTCCGTCACCATAAATTTAAATACGAGAGTCATTAAGATGAAACCAATCACCGATTAGTCATCAAAGATTAAATCGTTGACTTTAGGTGATGTCACAATGGAAAGTTTCAGGCATGTACTTCCATTCTTCTCTGTCACTTCAATCGAACGTTCGATGGCCAGATTTGTGGATATCTCGTTTCTGCAGGTCGAACATGACGATTTCCTTTCCAACCATTCCTTGATGCAGTCGAAGTGAAAACTATGGAGGCACTTCAATCCCGACACGAATGATTTGTTTTGGAAATCTTCCAAGCAGATCCCACAGCAGTTATCAATAAACATTCCTTTGATGAATGGCAACTTATATCTGCGATTCTCTGACAATTCTAAATAAAATATATCACAGGGAGAAACTTCTGCCACGAGATTGTTCCTTGCGTACGTATTTTCATGCATTGATGCCTCTTATGATTTTGCCAGAAAAAATTGGTCTTGAATCTCCCGCATCAAGTCGTATCTTAAACTTTCATCTAATGGATGAAACTTATCAAGCCAAAAATCATCGTTGATATGGCTTCTTCGGATGCCAAAAATAACTCCATTTCATCCATTTGGTAGAAAGAGAATATACTTTCCATTTTTTTATTTTCTTTCATTGCATTATCATACATGACAATCTGAGACAATGACTCCTCAGACGTAAAGTTCCACATGTACACTTTCAACGTTTCTTCGGCGAATTCTTCGATCTCCTGCTGGCTGTGTTGCATTTTCTAATGTGAATCCCAGCTATATGTAAAGTTTACAAATTGCTATCTCTACTATGCACTACTATACACTTAATATAAAATCTGAAAATATGAAAACCCAAATAATTTTCATTTGTTATTTTTTCACTCCTTCAATCATTCATAATTTGTATATATCCTGTTTTCAACTGTAAATTCATGTGCGCCTGAGCATGTGCTACATGCAATATACCAGCATTTCATTTAAATATATCAATATAGCATCTGTTGCCTGAAAGTTATGCGAGTATTTAAATGGGAATAGGAATTGAGCTATAGCACTTAATCTCGAATTTTGTCTGGAAAGCGTTTCAATAATAAGAGCTTTGAGCTTTTGTGACACGGTATTCTTGCGAATCACACAGAATTCGCACTCTAATAATATTTGAATAAGCTTGTGGTGAAAAAAATTATAGAAAGGACATCTTTAGATTAGAAATTCAGGGTTTAACGTTTTTTATGTTACAAGTTTTCAATGATTATTTTCAGGTTGAATGCTATTCTACAAACTCCATTGTATTATATTTTACTCTCGGCAATTTTAAAAGTGGATTCTATGTAATGTAAACTTAACCATGTGTGGCATTTTTGTCCTGATCGAGAATAAATCAAAGGTAAATAGCTATTGAAATCAGTTTTTGTATGAACTATCACTGATTATAATTATAATTTACTAACTAATAATTATTCTCACACTTTACATTACAACTTACACTTTTACAAAATAGATTACTAACTTTACTTTACTTTAAATTTTTAAAATTAATATTAAATTAAAGTATATTAGTAAAGATAAAGTAGAGTAAATTACTTACTTTATATTTATTTTACTTAATAAATGATTATACTTTTTTAGACATTACACTTTTACAGGTTTGTGACTGCCACCCAAGCACCACCATTAAAGATCAAATACTATCACGACTTAACAGAAGAGGCCCTGATGTGATTGCAGAAAAGTTTATTGAGTTGAGTGATGAATATCAAGCTACTTTCATTGGTTCTACTTTGCACCTAAGAGGTACTGAAATACAAGAACAACCATTGAGTAATGAAGATGGTGATCTTTTACTGTGGAATGGAGAAATATTTGGGGGTATTCAGGTTAGTAGCTTGATGTGATTATTTTGATTTTAATTAATTTTTGAGTAAATTTTGAAATACTATATTAATGACAATTTCATTATTGTTCAATAATTTAAATGAATATTAAAACATTTAGTAATTAGTTAGATATATAATTATATTTGACATTTTTTTGATATTAAATGCAAAAAATATCCTGGTAATTTTTGATATAATTCACAAATTGTCATAAAATTGAATAACAATAATTTCTAATTCAAGGTTTCAGAGACTGAAAATGATGGAAACATCTTGATGAAAAAACTTACAGACTGCAAAAGCGAATGTGAAACATTGAACTTATTTGCATCTATTAAAGGACCTTATGCTTTTGTTTACTGGCAGGTAGCTAGCTTTTTATTTTGCTGCATCTTAATTTCTAAGTTTTAAAAATTGCGCTGTATAAATATCATTTGATTGGTTGGTTGGTTGGTTGGTTAAATGATTATTCGGATAGCTGGTCAGTTGATTTGCTGGTTGGTTGGTTGGTTGTTTGGTTGATTAAATGGTTATTTAATTTATTTTTAATCGGTTTATGTTGACTCTTTGTTCTTATATCTAAATAAATTTTGTTTCATATTATCCTACAATTTAACCCACACACAGGCCAAAAACAAAAAACTATGGATAGCCAGAGATATTTTAGGCCGAAGAAGCTTATTAATAAATACGACGGCTGACAATAATTACCATAATAATGGCTGTGTAAACATTAAAGATGTTACTACTACTACTACTACTACTACAAATAATACTTATGCTACTAACGCTACTTCTAACGCTACTACTACTACAACAGCAACAACTACTATTAATAATTATACTACTCCTTTAACTTCTACTACTACTGCCTGTAATACCAGCACTGCCACTACTACTTCTATGGCTTCAGCTGCTACTACTACTACCACCGCTACTACTAATTCTACTACTACTACTACAGCTAGTACTAATAGTACAAATGCTAATGACAATGATAAAACTGTTTTTAAAACTGATATATTTGATAAAGGCTATGATAGTAATTACGCTGATGATATTATTGGTAGTAGTAGTAGTAATGGTAATTTTTCAACACTCATCTTATCATCTGTAGCCTGCCAGACGAAAGTAATCACTCAATCACTTTATCATTAATATCACTTTATCATCATCATTAATCATCATATTATTATTAATCCCCGCTTAATCATTTGGTTGGTTTTAAAATTTTTCAATAAATTTTATGTTATTATATTTTAATTAATTCTTTTGGGTAAAATTTATTCATGATTTCACGCCATAAAGAGCAACTGGAATGAGTTACCGGCATTTGGAGTTTATCTAATTGATTTTCAGTCATCATCATCGTCATCATCAACGACAACTTTATCATCATCATTATCACCATCGTCATCACAGCCGTCACCATCGTCGTCGTCGTCATCATGTAAAATTCACTTATTTCCGTGGCTCTGGAAACCACAAATCAATGAGAATCATAACGATGGAACCGATACTGAAATGATCCTTACCACCACCACTACTACTTACAATAGTGGTTTTCATGACAAGTATTTCAATTATACACCCGAGTCAAAAAACTGCTTTTCAAATAATTTTCCCTGCCATTTGTCTAACTACGGCTTGTTTTGCCACCTCAGTAAATTCAAACATTTTGGTAAATTAAGTGGTGAAGGAATACTAAAAAATGACGATGGTAATTCTAAATACGTCCATGCAGTGTTGTCTAATACAAATCAACGACAACATCAACAAAAACAACATCGACAAAAACAACATCAACGAACGCAACAAAAACAGCAACAAAATCACCATAATCATTGTAATGATTTTTCTAGTTTCGTAACAGATGAAAGAGTAAAAGCGATGAGAGACTTTTTAAAATTGCTGGGGAGTTCCGTCGAAAAGAGAACCTCTGCCGAATCCGTCTGCTCCTGTTGCAATTTTTGCATGCAAAAAATGCTAGAAAATAAGTGCTGCTCCAATTCCTTAATAAACAATCTTAAAAATTCAATGACATTCTCAGCCCCGACTTCGTCATCATTTCCAACATCAGTGGCGTCATCATCATCATTGATGACGTCATCGTCATCGCCCCTGGTTATTTGTCACCACAGTAAGGTTGCCATCTTGTTTTCTGGCGGCTTAGACTCACTCGTTCTTGCTCTCTTAGCTAACAGGTTAACTTGATTGTTCTTCTTTTTTTCTTCTTCTTTTTTTCTTCTTCTTCTTCATTTTCTTCTTCTTCATTTTGTTATTATTGCTATTACACACACAAATACACATACAAACATACTCACACGTACCCACACACACATACCGACAGATATATTCAGAGATCGGACCCTATTGATTTACTGAATGTCTCCTTCTTCAACCATTCCAAGTGATTTTTTTTACAATTATTTTCAATTAATCTATTTATTTGAACTGCTACTAATAATATTACTAATTGAAAATTATTGAATACTTAGAGAAATTTTCTTAATTAGTGTTTTATTAAGCCTTTTGACAGATTAATCAGCCAATCAATCAACCAATCTTTAATCACTCATTAATTCACAAATCACTAATCAACCAATCATTAATCAACCAATCAGCAGAGAGGAAGCTTCAACTCCGGATAGGTTAACGGGATTAAGCGGTCTAGGTGAACTTCGGGAATTGTGCCCTAACAGGAAATGGAATTTCGTGGAGGTGAAGGATCACTTAGTTTTTTTTTTCATATTAATTTGTTCTTATTCTACCAAAACCCTCCTAACAAACACACTGTTAATAATAATATCATTTTACTATTTTACATATTATTATTTTCGGATTTTAATCATTTTAAAGAATTAATTTTCTATTAAAACTAAAAAAAAATAATTGTTTTCAATATCAAGATCGATGTTGACGTTGATGAGCTAAAAGTGCATAGGTAAGTTGAATACACATTACCTCCTTACTTTTATGATACAATACAATATTTTAAAAATTGTCTTTTTTTAAATATATTTAGTTTTTATTACCATTATATTATATTTAAATATGTTAATTATGAATAATGATTTTGACTCCATTCACGCACGCAGAGAAAAATCAATCAAGCACCTCATACATCCACTTGACACAGTTCTCGACGACAGCATTGGCTGCGCCCTCTGGTTCGCCGCTAGGGGTCAAGGTCGTTTGAAATTGGGTCAGGCGAATGTAGTATGTCAAGGTCAGGGTCATGTGAGTAATGGGAACCAGTTAGAAGATGGGAATTACGTTTCTCCCGCTAGAGTTAGGAAGTGCTAATTTTGTTGTCTTTTATGAGTAGTTATTTTAATTAATTAATTAATTAATTAATTAATGATGGAATGAATTTGTTTTGAATTTTTGCCATTGAGTTTTGTTACGTTAATTTATTAATTATTAAACAAATTCTTCATTTATTTATGTTTTACTGAAAATGTGATTAAGTTTTGTGAACTGTTCAACTTTTGTAAACTCACCACATATCAATTCTGCAACGTGATCCATGCCTGCAAGATAGAAAAAATAATAACAGTGAAGTTTTTCGCAATTGATATTAATTGATATATATTAACAACCTTTCAACCATTCGTTGAAAGGTTGTCTTATCAGGATTGGGAGCAGATGAATTGTTGGCCGGATACTCGAGACACAGGATGAAGTTCGGGTTTGTCGCTCTAATCATAACCCACTCATTAGTAATTTTCTTTAAAAATGTTGTCGTACGTTCGCATGAAATATGTAGGGATCTTTTTGAATTCGAACGCGGTCACTTGAAGACAAGGACAGGCGTCTTGAACTGTTGCGCTATCATGCTTTACCGACTAACTGGGTTGATCGATTAACTGGTTGAATAACTAACTTACTAATTCTTATATTCAGCTTTTCCCGTTACATTCGAGCAATTCAATAAATGCAACGTAATTTTCACATATCTTGCATTCATGACGACACAATTCAAAATACAGTCCGGATGAGAACTGGGAACTGTTGGGGGATGAACTGGAAAGAGAGATTACAAACCTGTGGAATCGAAATCTCGGTCGGGATGACCGGATCATCTCGGATCACTGCCGGGAAGCCAGGTTCCCATATTTGGACGAAGACCTGGTTGATTTTATCCTTTCATTGGACATGCATTTAAAAGTAATTTTAAAAAAAGAAATTTTTGCATTTTTATCTAGTATTTTCTCTTATGTTTTTTTTAGAGTTGCAATTAAAAAAGTTTCTAACGGTTGATTTTGTATAAAACAATGACTACGGTTTCACTATTACTAATACTTTATTCCAATTTTTCGATGAATTTCGCACATTTTCACAAATTTCTAATAAACTCGCCCAATCTCCAGTTTGACCTGAGGGCACCTAGAGGTGTGGGCGACAAGTTACTACTAAGAATGGCAGCCCAGGATTTGAACTTACACAAAGGGTCCCTACTTCAAAAGAGGGCCATACAGTTCGGGTCAAGAATCGCAAAGTTGGAGGGCCGTAAAGAAAAAGCCAGTGAAGTCTGTGCTAGACTAGTCAGTGATGCAGAGATTTCGTGAATTGGGTCGGTCGGTTTGGTTCGTGTGATTAGTTGTAGTTCGCTATATCTGGAGAATAATAATATTTTGTTTTTTCAAAATCGATCGTACCGTCTATGAGTCTATGATTTAGTTATTGTAACACGCGTTTAAAAGTTTTACAAACATTTAGGAGTTTTGGAGAATTTATTTCTGATAAATGTGTGACATTAAAATTTCATTTCTCTCAATATTTCTCTCAAATTATTGATCACGTTGGTGTATGAGATTGGAGTTTTCTTATTGCGAAATAATGTTTTGTGTGAATTAGAGGTGTGAAATTAGAAACATGAAAAATTATAATAATGATGTGTTTATGTTAATAGTTGATTAAACAAAAAATCTTCTATTGATTCAAACCATGTTCTAGATAATTTTTACAGTAAAATGTGCAAGTTATAAATTGAGATTTGTAGTATAGTTAGATTTTATTGATATATATCTATGGACGAGAACGATAAATGCACTAAATTCAAACATAGAAGCAATATAGGCTACCCTGGCATGAAGTCTAACAAAAATGAAACATTGGCGTAACATTTCAATGGAACCAGCTGATAATTTGCTGTAAGTGAACTTACTTTCTCATGAAAGTTTGAAGATAGAACATATCGTTGGACACCTTCAAATTTAAATTATTTATTAACTAATTTTTGTGCGATTATTTTTTTCTGGATTTGGCATAGGCAGATAGTGAGTTATGCAATATTTTCAAACTCGTGTTGTTGTAAAATTTTAAGTCGTCGTCTTCGTCTTTGCTCATCTTTCTTGAATTTGTTGAGACAGAACAATCATTTTCAATCACCTCCGAAGTTTTTGAAAACGGAATATCTTGACTACCAGTTGTGCGAGAATTAAAGGAGGAGTTGACTGGTACGACTGTTCTAGTTGCATTGTCACCTGATGTCAAACCTGTTTTACTTGGTTCCATTTTTTCGTTATTTTTTTCTTCTTTTGTTTGGTTTGTTGATGATTTTTTAGACGTCACATCTATTTCTTTGTTCAATTCAAATTTTGCAGGAGAATCGTTTCTATCCATGACAGCTTCAGATTCGGGTCGCTTTGTAACATTTTTTGTACTATATGCCCTTTCCGAGTTTGGCTGTGGCGCGTTATCCACTTTAGGCTCCGGTGAGTTTATTTTTTGAGATTTCGTTTTCAAAGGTTTTTCCGAAAAGTCAGCCATGTTTTTTATTGCTGGTTTTTTAATAGGTATTTTTGAAAGAGTCATTGGCGCAGTAGAGTGAGAAGATTGCAATTTTGATTTCATGGAACTGCCTACCGGTACTTTGCGTATCTCTTCACGGTGATTTTTAACTTCTTTCGTTTCTGATGATTTCGGTTGGTTTTTGGATGACATAGCAGATCGGGGTGGGAGTGAAACATTGCCTGCTGCTGTTGTATTCAACGGCTTCTGAGTTGGTTTTGGAGAAACGCTAACTACTGCTGTTTTTATAACTTTTTTTGTTTGTTTTGTGGACATTTTTGTTGCTAAAGAAACGTTTACTGAAGTTGCTGTGTTTAATGATTTATAAGCTGTTTGCGGAGAAACTTTTTTCAAAGGCGCATTCAACGATTTTTGAGTTGGTTGTGAAGAAAGATTCTTTAATTGCGTCATTAAGGATTTCTTAGTTGGTTGCGGAGTTATTTTCATTGATGTTTCCAGTGATTTCTGAGCTGATGGTTTGATAGAAGTTTTTTCTGATGCCTCATTGAACGATATTGTTGTTAGTCGTGGAGGAAGTTTTCCTACTGGCGCATTTAAGGATTTCTGGGAACGAACCAATGATATTGCTGTTGACGGTTTGTTCAAGTTGTTGGCTGTAGGTGACGGAGATGTTTGGCTTAACTCTACACTGTCTACTTTAGGGATGGATCGAACACTTCTTTTGACAGCTATTATCGGTTCGTTTGTCGATGGTAACGTTTTAATGACTTGCGTCGTCTGTGTTATTCGTGGCGTTACTAATTTGGTCGTAGATTTTAGCCCTTGAGTTTCTGGTTTATGAAATTTCGCAAAAGCCACTGATAGTTTCAAATTACTTTTTGTTGATTTGTTTAGTTTTTTACTCTTCCACTCTTGTATAATTTTTTGTCTTCTTAAAAAGTTTTGCAATAAAATTGCTGCTTCATTGTTGTTCTGCTTTGTGAGGTTGTTGTCTTCTTTGACTTCAATCATTCTTTTACTTTTGTCGACCTCTAGCAAGTTAGGTGATGTTGAATTGGATTCGTTTGTGGTCCTTACAACGAAAGGATTTTCTTGCGAAGACGCTACTTTTCCACTTTTTTCTCTCTTCTGCGACGTATTCTGGGAATTCCTACCTGAAGGTCTGCTTATGGCGTTGTTCGAATCAGGACCGTATAATACTTCGTAGTTTTGGCGCGAATTCAATGGTAGAAGAGGCTTTCTTCGCCGTCCCTTCTCGAAACATTCGATGGCTATATCTAGTGATTAATGATATCAAATATTAAAATCAACTTGTTCGTCGGCTGTTACGATGTTTTATACGCAAAAATTATGATGAATTACAAATTTGAATCTACCTAGAGTTTCTTTGAGTAAACCTGGAATGACGTCCTTAAGAGCTCCGCAGTTGATGGTGTAACTGGGGTTCATATTTATTTCTATCAGCCAAACCTTAAAAATAATTTTAAATTTATTTAATTGTAGTTGAATAATCGATTTTATGTTCAGCGCAAAAATCGTAATCGTACTTTCATATTCTCATCGACAAGAAAGTCCATGCCATACAACTCAAAATAGCCCAACCGTCTTTGCAATTTATTCTTAACGGAGTTGAAACAGACCATTATGATCGATTTCATTTTTTCCTAAAAAAATTTGTTTAAATAATAAATAATATCAAATTAGTGAAAGATGATATATCAGCCAGATTGAAACAAATTGCAAGAAATTCCACATAAAAACTTACCGTTAAGCCGTTATAAACCCAATTTCTGCCGACGTTCTTGCTCTCTGCGAAGTTTCTGTTGGCGTAGTCATTGAATTTGTCCATGCTCCACACAGTATCCTCTTTTCGCTCTCCATATTTCGGGTCTTTTTTCTGAATGTACTGTTGTATTTCGGTGGAAATTTTTTGGAAAATTTTCTTTAGTATCATCATATAAATTAATTCGATGTCATGTAACCAAATAAGGCGCTCAGTGTTAATAAATTTAAAAACAGATCTGATAAATTCTATAGTATTAATTACTGTACTAATTGAGTTAGTTGATAATTATTAATTTTTGAGATTTCAGTAGTTGCTATAATAATTTTTTTTTAACACGTTACACGATTTTCATATGTATTTTAACTCCACTCATCCGTATTCAAATGTATTAAAATATATCACTTATCTGAATGTTGATACAAATCAATTTCTGTTCGTAACTGACCTGATTTGTTAGGTGTGTCAGCATGTTGTCGCTGTTTTTGTCGTAGTTGTACATGGAGAGTCGAATGTAGCCTTTGTGGTAGAGGATAACGTATGGGGAGGTACTCGCAATGAGCATGTAACATCGGATGTCGAATTTCCGGTTGTTTATGAGCAGAGGATTAGATATGTACCTTCAAAATTTTATGTTAAAATTTATTTTAGATGTAAGTCTTCTTCGGATTGGTGTGACATTTTAGTGATTTAATATTTTCAAAATCGGAGTAACTTTTATTTTTGTAAAAATTCAGTCTAAAAACGTATTTTCCAGAATTAATTTTTGAAATTTAAGAATGTAGTACCGTTGTATGATTCTGTTGAGAGGTCTGAACCTGGTGGGGTTAGGAGAGTTGTCCTGGGTGACCGCCTTGTAACATTCCTCCGAATTCCAAATTAAGAAGATCCCCTTACCTTGGTTTCTACCTGTCGGCTTGCAGATCCAGATATCATCCTCTGTTCAAATTCGTTCTAAAAAAAATTACTTCTCGAAAAAAATGAAAAATTTGTGTGTATACAACAACTGATCGTATGTGACAAGAAATACGCAATTAGTTTGGGTGAACGACGAAATTTTATTTAAAAACGACCTTTGTAGGTAGCCAGGAATTTTTCTTTATCTTTTGGATCGTCGACTTTGTACGTTTCCGGGAAAAAGTCCAGTTTGACTGGCTGCTTGTGGTTCGCAGCGTTTATTTTGCCATACTCTTGTAAGCTGTTTAATAAACCTTGCTTGTTTGTTAGGATTTCGCAATTTGGAATGTGGTTGACCAGTTGTTCACCTGTTATCATCGTGTTAACACGAACATTAAGCTCATTTTGATAAAATAGTTTTGCATATAAATTGAAATTTTAAAAATACTCTCACTCACCCTCTCTGAAGTTATTGTAATCAATGGAGGCCTTCAACTCGCTCCATTTCAATTTGAAGAGCTCGTCATTTTTCTCTCTTATCCTCCTCCAACCGAAACCATTCAAAATCTCGTCTACTCTGGAGAATAAATCAAACAGAATTAATTAATTAATTAACTAATTGTTTAATTTTGTTGATAATGAAGTAAATTAATTAAATCCCAATTATAACAGATTATAACAAATAATTATGAAGACGACGTTTCGTTAGATTATCATAAAAATATAAACTAATTTTTTCACGCCGTATACACTAGACAACCGATAAAATCGTACGACTGAAAAATCAAGGCAACTACTACAGGGCAGTTCCATTGTTGCCTGCAATGAAGTAGGTTGGGTCGGAGCCGAGACGAGAATTCGGAGAAGTAGCCTGCGAAGTCGTGGCCGATGTGGCTGTATTCGTTCCAGAAGTGGTCGTCGACGATGTTGGAGTGTTTGACGTCGTGTTCGAAGACGTTGTGTTTGAGGAGGTTGTGTTTGATGACGTTTCGTCGTCGTCATCGTCGTCGTCGTCCTGCTCGCTTTTCACTTTCCCATTTGCATTGTCGTTGCTGTTGCCCTGAAGGCACTGCACTGAGGTGATGTTTCGAGTTGGGATTTTTATTTATTTGAATTCAAATCTCAAGTTATTAGGAATAATTTTAAAGATCATACTTATTAAGATGAATATTTTTTATAAAATATGAAGCAAGGTTTGTTTTTCTAACTTTTGTTGCTTTGATGTTCACGAATTTCGCCAAAATTCCTAATTGAACGTTTTAAGTCTTTTCCACTGAAGTCATGTTACGATCCTATCATCTGCATCAAATTTCAGTGACGCGTAGTTTGGTTTAAATTATTTTTGAAAAAATAATTTCAAAGTGAAAACTTTTCTTATATAATTAAAAAAAGTAGAACAAAAACAAAGCTAATGCCTAAACCGACACACACACAAACAAACACACACACATACACACACACCACACTTTACTATTATACTCACAACTCTAAACGTAACGTAGGAACACAAACATTGCGGACGCACTCACAGACACAAACACACTGCTATACATACATCTTTAAACACAACAAATAAACACAAACCAGCAAACACACAAACAAGCAAACACAAACATAAACAACAGACATACACACACCTAGACGAGTGATATATTTTGTTACATGAAATTCAATTCAAGGAATAAAATCAGATTAAATTAAACGGGTTCGTATTGGTAGTGATGTTTGTAATGGCGTTGTTGATGATAATGATGTTAGTGCTGCTGCTGATGATGAGGATATGAGGAGGAGGAGGAGGAGGATGATGATGATGATGCTGATATGAGAATGATGATGATGATGATGATTAATGCTTGTGATCTTTCCTTAACCTAACGATGAAATAAAATAATTTCAATTCATTTTTTAATCAACGCGTTTTTTTAAAAGAATTTAATTTCAATTTGGAAAAAACATTTTTCGTTAATTAAATTTTTCTCTTTCGAAAATTGCTTAATTAATTTCGATATTTTAAAAAATAGTTTAAATAAATTAGTAACTGAAATAAAACTTATTTATTTATTTATTACCGCTATTAATTAGTTGAATGAAATGATGTTGATCACTTCGCCAGAATATTAATAATTATTGATGTTATTAAACGTAAAATAAATTTTTTTATAAAATTATTTTCCTATATTTATCCAAAAAGATCTTGTTTCGTTATTGTTGTTGATGTTGTTGTTATTATTATTAATTTTTTCTTGTTTATTGTTTACAAGCATGACGCCCGTGTGACGTCATAAGTAGGGATAGGCGATTTAGTGTGATAAAAAAATATATTTGCTTTAAATTATTTCAAATTTCATTTTAATAAAAATATTGGTTACTTGGGTTACTAATATTTTAAAATTAATCATAAGTTAATTAATTAATTAAACCAATTAATATCCAACTATTATTTACACTTTAATACTAGAATTACGATTAATTAAATCATTTCAACATAAAAAAAATTAGTATAGCAACAAACATATAACAAATTATATTCACTAATATAAACAATAATTAATTAGAAATTAATATTAATTATATACCACAAATACCACATAAATACAAAAAAATACAACAAAGATATTATATGTGCTACACCTGTGTACCTGTATTAGCTAGCCATAGTTGCTAGAGAAACGAAAATTGAGTTATCAAAAATCGCTTTTTAAATTAATTTTTTTCACTTGTATAATGTTAATATTTTTTGATTCAAGTATTTTTATTTGTTTATTATTTATCTTCTGATTTGTTTATTACGGATTTTAAATAATTTGTTTTATAATTTTTTTACAATTTTATATTGATGAAAGTTCATTTGAAATTTTTTTATTTATGCAAGCAATCGCAATGATTACTTATTCAATCATGAGTAAAAAATTTAAGTATATTAATATGTTAGCGTAGTATAATTTGAATCACATGTCTTAACATTTGTTTGTTCTTTTGTTTGTTTGTTCGTTTGTTCATTCGTTCGTTTGTATGTTTGTCCATTCGTTCGTTCGTCGATACGTTTATTTTTTATTTTGTTCTATGTCCGTTCATTCGTCTGTCTATCTATCTATCCATTCATTCATTTATTCATTCAATCCATCGGTTATACGTTAATTTATCAAGTACGTAGTTAAATTGGATATATATCATTGTGAATAAATTTGTGGAATTAAGAAACAGGCACGGTGTGCGTGTGTGTGTGTGCGTGTGTGTGTGCGTGTGCGTGTGTGTCTCCGTAAAAAATATTTTGTGATATGTTTGCTATAGAACTCATTAAGTCATGATTTGACGTGATTGTGCTGGAAAAATGAGATGTCACTTTTGACAATTTCTATCTGAGGTACCATTACAAGAGTAATTTTTCGTTTATAAGGTAATAGTAGTAGTAGCAGTATTAGTAGTAATTGTAGTAGTAATAGTATTAGTAGTAGTATTAGTAGTAGTAGTAGTAGTAATAGTAGTAGTAGTAATAGTAGTAATAGTAGTAGTAGTAGTAGTAGTAGTAGTAGTTATGGTTGTTTGTTTTTTAATGTTTTTAATTTTAGCTGTTATTGGTGTATTAATGGTTGTTGTCATGGTTGTTGTTAATGTTCTTATGGTTAGTTGTCAGTGTTAAAGTAAGTTATTGAGTTCGTTTTTTGTTTTGGTCTGCTCCTATATCCGATATTTCTTCATGTCTATGTACTCAAAACTTAGTGAACTTTGTAGAATTGAATTAAAATATTTAAATATTTTCTAATAAGCCAACGAGTGATGAGCTAAAAAGTGGATAAGTTACGAAATAAATAGAAAAAAACTCTGATAGTTGAAAAGTTGGAGGGAGAAGGAGGAAGAGAAGGAAAGATAGAGAAAGAGAGACAAGAGAGAGAGGGAGAGAGAGAGGGAGAGAAATAGAGAGAAATAAAAGAGTAAATGTCCACACGCAAATTTTTTTCAACATGAGAGGACATTTGAACGCCGATGTCAGAGTCGCAAATAGGAAAAAAATGGACCCCAAACTAAACAACAACAACAACAACAAAAACGTTGGAATGAAAGCAACCAATGAAAATCAAGAATTCACTTTCATTTTATTTCTTTCAAAACAAAATTACTCAACAAATAATTTTGAAATTTTGAAATATTTGGTAACGATAATATTATTTACATTGATAGTAAAAGTTTCATGCCCTATAGTCGTAATAGTAGTAGTATTAGTAAAATCATCATTTTAACAGTAGTAGTAGTTGTTGTAACAGAAGTAGTAGTAATATTAGTAGTAGTAGTAGTAGCAGCAGCAGTTACAGTAGTAGTAGTAGTAGTAATAGTAGTAGTTTCATTAATATTAGTAGTTGTAGTAGTCGTAGTAGTATTAATAGTAATTGTTGTTGTAGTAGTAATAGCAGTGGCAGTAGTGGTAGTAGTAGCAGCGGCAGTAGTAGCAGCTGCAGCAGTAGTAGTAGTAGTTGTGACACTGGTTGTAGCAATCGTATAGACTTTTTACTATTTGAGAGGATTTATGTATTATCTATTGTAACAGTTTTAACCAATGCCAGTTTAGCGATTCAATGTAAAATTTTCAAAGTTAAGTTAACAACAAAATAAAAACATTTTAAAAAAATAATAAAAATATTAATAAACAATAACAATAATTAATAATAATAAACTTTTTATTAACGTTATTTAATATTTTTTTACAACAAAGATTAAGCGATTTGTTGCTTGCTTTACTGTCACGTTACAGCATTGCACCATGTATAATTTTTATCACACGCGTTTTGTTTGTCATTAGCTGAGCTAAACACGCACGCACGCACACACACACACGCACACACACACACACAAGTACGAACGCATTCACACACACACACGCACGCACACATTCACACACACACATACTCGTACTACACATACAAACATGTAATTTGAATTATTCTGCTAAATTAGTTTGCCGTTCTAGAAACGAACGTTGATGGGGATGATGAGTATGATGAGGATCGTCATGATAATGATGTTGGGAGTAAGATGAATGGTCATTGGTTTCTTCACTCTTGCAAGCATCATCATCATCATCATCACCGCCATGGTCTGTGTAAGAGAGATGGATGGAAGTGAGAGGATGATTGGTGGATAGTTTGGTCATTTTCATTGGTTGCTGACATGTCATGTGACCCGCTGATGAATTGTAATTGGCTGGGCAACATTTTTGCTGATTAACGATGTTGTCTTGTTGTGGTTGTTGGTGTTGTTGTTGATGAAAGTCGTCGTCGTTTTGCAATGAATCGTATTTGTTGACGAATGTCAGACTGTTGTCAATTGTTGTTGTTGCGCTAGGTGTTGTTGAGTTGTACTGATAATTATCAATTTGGTGTTGTTGCTGTTGATGATGATGATGATCTTGCTGATGTTGTTGTTGATGATGATGATCTTGCGGAAGTTGGCAATTCTTAGCTGGTGATGACGCTGATGATGAAACGTAGAGTATAACAGGTCTTGGCTGGTAATGTTGTTGTTGTTGTTGTTGCAACAATTGTTGTTGCTGTTTTTGCAACATATGTTGTTGTTGCAACAACTGTTGTTGTTTGATTGGGCAATGCTGGTAAACACTCTCATCTTTGATTGATGGTAGAAACGTCTGCAAATGTTGTTGTTGTCGTGGTTTTTGTTGATCAACATCATGACGTTGATGTTGTTGTTGTTGTTGTACGTGGTAGTGATGATGAAATACTGATGACGTCGATGAATACGGTGCATATAAATCGTAAACTAGGTCGCTGGGTTTGTTCCTGGACAGCCAGCCAATGGAATGCTGGTAATCTATGTCATCCACGCTTG